TGCTCCCTGCTGCCTGCAGGCCTGGCCCACGGCAGTGACCCCAGCTCACCCTCTGTCCTGCCACCCCTGGCCCCACTAGTGCTTCTCACCAGGCGCTCTCTGTTCCTCTCCAGCTAAGAGCCTCGCCCCTCTCCCTCTGTCTCCCTCCTCCTTCTCTCTCTCCCTCTCCCTCTCTCTCCTCCCTCCCTCTCTCCTCTCTCTCCCTGCTTCTTTCCTCTCCCTCCCTCTGTCCGCCCCCCCCCCTCTCCCCTCTCCCTTCCTCTCTCTTTCCCTCCCTTTCCCTCTCTCTCTCCCTCCCTTCCCCTCTCCACATCCAATTGTGCTCCACAGACTGCCAATGCAGTGCTCAGGGCCCACTCTCAGCAGTTCTCAGGGATTGCGCCCACCACCCGCTAAGCCTCACCCCAGCCCTTTGGGCCACCCCATTGTCTCCCTCCATCTCTTCCCAGCTCCGATTCTGCCCCCCCCCCACCACCCAGGGCAGCCCATGGCCACCCTCTCTCCATTATGAGAGTCACACACGAGGCGGGAGGCCGGCCTGTGCCCAGCGCTGCTGGTGACCAGGACATCATCCTCCGGGGCCACCTGGACAGCCCCAGGCCAGCAGTGGCGTCTGTCCAGCCCCGTGACTTTCGATTCCTCCCCGCCCTTTCAGACCCTGGACTTAACATTCTAGTCACACGCCCACAGCTAAAAAGTCAGAACAACAGGACAGCAGGGAGGACTGTCCTGACCTGGCCTCAATCCCCAGAACCCCCTGTGGTCTCCGGGGCAGCACCAGAGCACAGAATCAGGAGTAACCTCTGAGCCAAGCGTGGCCCAAAAAAACAATAAAGAAAAGAAATTCTCCCTCTGCTGGGCCTCTCCTTGGCTTAACATGTTTCTGTGCTTCAGAGGCCAATTGTGACTTAGCCAAAACCAGTCTTCTGCCCCGGCCCCCTCCATACGGAGCCCACCAGCAGGCTCCCACTGTCCCCCACTGGAGAGCACACCGAGGGTCTTTCTGGAGGTGGTGGGCGCAATGAGCCTCCCGTACAGCAAAATGTGGCCTTGGAAATAGGAGCCGGGCCTGGAAACTGGGTGCTCAAAGCTTGTGGCTGCCAAGACCGTCCTCAGGACCAAATCCCAACATCCTGCCCGGGTGGGCGGGCTTCTCACCCACCGCCCCTGCCTGGGGCTCCTTTCCTCCTCAACTCTCCTTTGCCGCAACATCTTTCCTGAGAGCACTTCGGGCTCCTCTGACTGTCCACGAGGCGCCCGCCACTCCCAGCCACCAGCCCCCCCCGCCCCCACCCCGACCCTCCATTTCCTATGTGGAGGTGGGAACACGCATCGCTGAGGTGGTGGTGGCAGAGGGACCAGAGTCGCCAGCATGCTCCAAGAGACACACAGGGTATGGGACACACACAAGAACAGCTCCGGAGTCTGCAGGGGACGGTCCACCTCGAGTTGATGGCGGGCTGGGGGTACTGAGGGCAACCAAAGACCCTCAGACCCGGAGTCCCCCTGGATACTGTCTCCACCCTCACCCCCCGAGAGAAATCTGAGCTGGCTGGTTCCTGGAAGGAGAAGGGGCTGAGAGGGGACCTGAGTTCCCCCGAGACTGTGACAGAATGTTCCAGAAGGAGGGCGGGGAGACGAGAAGGAGCCCCAGAGCCAGTCCAGGAAGGCACCTGCCATGCACACGGCTGGCCTGGGTCTGTCCCTGGCACCCCAGACGATCCCCTGAGCCCCGCCAGGAGTGAGCCCAGAGTACAGAGTCAGGAGCCGGCTCAGCCATCGGGGAGGACGCGCTGCACCTCCTTGGCATCTTGCTGGGCAGCTGTCCATGGAAGAGGAGGTCAGTGTCCTCAGCGCCTGGGGTCCCCCCACTTCCCTGCTGCCAATGCGCCATCTGCGTGGAGCCTACACGCCTGAAAGCACCATCGAGACCACAGCGGCGTCTGGCCCCGAGCCAGCTCCCGGCGCCCCCCCACATCCCCCCACAGTCCCAGGCCTCTCTGTCCCCATGGCATGGCCTGAGCCCGGCACGTGGAAACCGACCCCCCATTCTCTACGGCCCCCTTGTCTGCCCTGGGCACTGGCCAGCCCACTCTCCCCCCATACAGCCACGCTGGGCTGAAGGGACCCCCCTCCTCGATCGGCACATTCACACAGCAGCTCAGTGGGACCCCCCCGTGACTCCCCACGGGGGGGGGCTGGCTCAGACTGCAGGGGGCCTAGGGGCCCTGGGTTGTACACCCTCCCCAAACTGCAGCTCTTACGCAAGAGGGAAAGGAAGGAGTGAGGCCCGCGGCTGAGCCAGGCTGGGGGGCTATGGGGGGGGGGACATCTCCTTCGACTTTCAGGCCTATTCAGGCTCCTGTCACAGCCCAGAGGACTGGAGGCGACTTCTAGGAGGACAGGAAGTGGACTCCACAGGGGTCAGCTGCCTCGTGGGCTGGAGTTGGGATTCCACACGGGGCAGCTGGTGGGACATCCCTGGGACCCCTCGAACAGCTCCAGGAGGCAAGGCCTGGAGAAGGGAAGAGGTCAGGCACCCCGCCCCACGGAGCACAGACCTGGGGCAGAGCAACACGGGCCCAACCTGCACCCCCTGGGGGGCCCCACAGCCTCCCGTGGGTGTCTGATGGCTCTGATGCCCTTCTCCCGGGCAGTGGCCCCGATGCCTACATCTCTCTTCGCTGCCCCACACAGGCTGACTCGGCTCAGAGGGACCTCGTCCACACTTGGGGAGCCCAGGGGGACCTCAACTACTCCAGGGAGCCCAGGGAGACCTCGTCTATACCCAGGGAGCCCAGAGGGACCTCTTCCACACCCAGGGAGCCCCGAGGGACCTCGTCCACACCTGGGGAGCCTGGGGGGACCTCGTCCACACCCAGGGAGCACGGGGGAAACCTTGTCCACCACTGGGGAGCCCGGAGGGATCTCATCTACAGCTGGGGAGCTTGGGGGGACCCTGTCCACATGTCTACATCTGGGGAGCTCGGAGGGACCTCGTCTACACCCAGGGAGCTCAGGGGGACCTCGTCCACACCCGGGTCTCCCCCTGCCTGACCTGGTGGTCCAGTCTAGGCACTTCCAGGGTCCACTGCAGGGAGCCTGCAGGGTGGGGCAGGGTGCCTGGGAGCTCTGACCTCAACCCAGTCCAGGGTAGATCAGATCGTTTCCAGGTAAAGGAGGGGCCCCCTGATAAACACCCTGCTTCAGGGATGGGGAATGCCCGAGGAGCCCCCACTCCCCGCTGTGACCCTGCGTCCAGCACTGGCCGTGAGCGCACGCCTAAGCCCAGGCCCAGAACTGCTGGGAGAACTGTCCACAGCTGCAGACGGAGGGCGGGGCTGCAGAGGCGGGGCTGAGGTGACACTCACCAGAGGCTCTCCCCAGTCTCCAGGGGAACCTGTGTCTGGCTGGGACACGCCCGCTGTGTCCCCAAATGCACCGCAGACCCCCTGCAAATGTCGGCGGCGGGGGGGGGGGGGGGGGGGGAGGAACACATGCTAAATCTGGGCCCGTGGGGGAGCACTGGCGAAGGGGTTCCGGGAGTGTTCGGCCAAACACCGCCCCCGCCCCATCCCCTCGGCTCCCTGCAGTTCCTTCGCCTCCCGGGGCGGCTGCTGCCCCTGTGACGTGACGTCCGGAGGGTCGCCGCCTCCCAGCAGCCAGCCTTTCGGAGCGCTCCAGGACCGCGCCGCGCGGGGGTGGGGGTTGCCGCCCCCTCCCCGCCTCCAGTCTGCGTCCCGCCGAGATGCAGGCGCTGAGCGCGGGGCGCGGCCCCGCGGGACCCGGTTCCGGGCCGGGCGAGCGCGCTCCCCTCCGCAGGGGCCCCTGCAATGCAGCTGCGCGCGCCGTGCCCGCGCCCGCGCCGCCGCCGCCGCGCCCCAGTTTGCGGCACCGCAGTCCCCCCCCACCCCCGCCCCTGCCCGCCCCGCCCGCCGCGGCTGCAGCCCGCAGGGGGACCGCGGGGAGAGGCCCGGCTGAGTGCCCCTCCCAGCACAAGGCTCCTCGCCAGCGCCCAGACGCGCCCCCGCCCCCCGGCTGGGCTGCGCACGGCCCACTCGGCCCGGCGCTGGCCCGCCGGGGGACCTGCTCCCCGCCCCCCACTCCCGCAGCGGCTGCTGGGGAGGGGGGGTTCCGGCGCGGGCTGGCCCTCCCCCAGGTCCTGGCATCACACAAAAGGACTGGGGGTGTTTGTTATGTTGCAAAGCTGCATAGCCACACACACACTCACACACACACACACCCTATGGCCCTGTCACAGAGCCCCACATTCTCTGTCCTCCCTGGGAGGCCACCTGGTCAGTCGAGGAAAGCCAGGGCCTCTGCTGCCCAGCTGAAACCAGACTCCTGGGCACCAGCCCTTCTCGGCTCCAGAACGCTCAGCTCGCCCTGCCCGGCCCTGCCAGGGTCCAGGTGCCCGCGGTGCTCTGAGAACACACCAGCTGCCCCCGATTATGATTATTCCTCAACCTTCATCAGCCTCTGGGTGAGGCGGCCGCAGAGGGCCACGGGGTGGGGCCGAGGACCCCCCCCCCCACTCCTGCAGTGGTGAGGTCTTGGGGCGGGGGGGTGGGGCCCAGAACCAGAGCCTGGTGCTCTGGAGGGAACCCTGGGAAGACTCCCCTGTCCACAGCCACGACTCTGGCCCAGCATCTCCAGCCACGGGGGGTCCAGGTGGCACTGCCCAGGGCAAGCGGGAGGTGAAGGTGCCGCCGGGGACTGGACACCCAGCCAGGGGCAGCCCCCGCTGGACACGTCAATGACTTGACGGTTTGAGGACCTGGGGAGAGGCTGGGATGGCGGCACGGGGTCTCCACTAGGGAGGCTGAGGTTCCACCGCCATCACATGTACTCAGACACAGTCTCCAAGAGACCCTCCTGGATCTGGCCCTCCCCCCAAGGCCCCGCCTCCCCCTCCCCCCTGGTCCCAGCAGGCCCCAGGGGACCTCTGCGCCCTCCTGCCTCATACCCTGTCCACCAGGCGCCCGGGCGGCCCTTACCGTCCAGGGACAGCCAGTCATGCTGGGACGACGGGAGCGTGGGCAGTGCCCGCGCCTTGTACTCGAACACCACTGAATTGGAGATGATCTGGTTGTTGAAGGCAACTTGTAGGGTCACGAGGCCCGTGTCGTGGGCTGCAAGTAAGAGGAGCGTGGTCAGGCCAGGGCAGCACAGGGATGGCTCAGGCCCGTCCCACCACCCTGCTCCAGGTCCCCCGTGCTTCCAGGCTCCACACCCCAGCGCTGCTGCTTCCAGAACCTTCTCTGAACCTGAGACTCCCGCCGGCACCTTCCTCTGTGCTCCTGCTGGCCCCTGTGTGTCCCCCTTCCCCCACCCCCCGCCCCTTCTGCCCTGCTCCGTGTCGCCTCTCCCAGGCCCCTGTGTCTGTGTCACGGTTTCCTCCGGGCCTCTCCTGGCTGCCTTAGTGGCATCCCGTGTATTTTTAGAAGTCCAGGCTCCCCGGCGTGGGCACGCGCTCCAGCCGGGTCTCTGCGGTGCCACACGCAGCCAGGAGAGTGCCCGGAGAGCCTTGGGGCCAGGCAGGGGGACAGAGCCTTCTCCCGCCCCGCTGGGTCCCACTCTGCTCGGGGGCTTCTGCTGCGATCTTCTGCTGGGGGGGCTGTGGCCTGCAGAATCAGCGGGCCAGGGTGGGCTGCCGTGCCCCACCAGCCCTGGTCTGGGGGGGGGTGTGGCGGATGGCGGAGGTTTGTGTCTCGGGCCCGGCTCCTCTGGAACGCTGGACATGGGGGGCCCAGGCCCTTCTGGGCCAGATAACTGGGGGATCGAGTTACTCTTGCACTGCTGGTCTTCAGAAGCTTCCAGACCTGCAGGCCAAGTGGGCCGGTCCCAGGGCGGCTTCCCTGTACGGATGGAGGTCCCATGCCAGCCCCTGCCTCCCCATGAGAACGAGGTCCCATGACCTGCTTTCTTCGCCCAGGGACCCTCTGCTGGTGGCCCCAAGCAGAGTCAACAGGCCTGGGGGGGCACCTCTGGGGAAAGCCCGACACCCCCCGAGGTTCCGACCATACTCGGGTTCTCAACAGGAAGAGCTGTGGGCAGTGCCTCTGGCCTGGCCTCCTGGGGGCCAGCTTACACCCTTGCCAGTTCCTGGCGCTCCCAGGGACCCCCTCTCCCAGCCTGCCTCACCTGGACATCTCCCTTATACTTCCTGGATGGGGTCTCTGCGCTCCCTGCCACAGGGCCTTTGCATTTCTGGTGTGAGGTTGCTGCATTTCCTGCATGGGGTTCTAGCTCTTCCTTTTTTTGTGGGGCCTTTGCATCGCCTGCCACCTTCCTGCCATGAGGCCTTTGCACTTCCTGCCACAAAGTCTTTGTCCTTCCTCAGGGGTCTTTATACTTTGTGCTGTCACTGTCTGTCACTGTCCTCCCGTTGTTCATCGATTTGCTCGAGCGGATCCGGTAACATCTCCATTGTGACACTTGTTACTGTGTTTGGCATCTGTGGCCCTGTGCATTTCCGGCCACCCTGTCTGGGGGATGGGGGGGAAATGCTCCCAAGCCCCAGGCCCCTGGTGACATTCCCACAAGCCAGCGTCCTGGTTGTGGCGCTGCCTCTGGCTGCAGGCCTGTCCTCAGCACCTCTCCGCCTGGCCCTGAGGCCAGCGCTGGCATGCCGCGGCCACCTGATACCCTTTCGCTGGTTTTCATTTCAAATTTCCTCTTTGCGTTTGGGCGGCCTCTCGGGAATCCGGCGGGCAGCGCCACCAGCCAAGTCTTTCATGGGGCTCCTGGCCCCTCTTTGCTGCGGCCCTGCCCACACCCGGCACGCAGCGCCCCATGGGGTGTGCTCTGTCAACCACGGGGCCCCTCTGCCGCGGCATGCTGGGTAGGCTCAGCCTGGGAGAGCTGGGGTCCGCTCCGGGCTTGGGGGCTTGGGGCGGGGACTCAGCCTGGGAGAGCTGGGGTCCGCTTTTGGGGCTCAGGGCGGGGGTGTGAAAGAGCTGGGGTCCACTCATGGCTCGGGGTGGGGACACGGGAGAGCTGGGGTCCACTCGGGGCTCAGGGCTTGGGACGGGAGAGTTGGGGACCATTTGGGGCTTGGGCGAGTCTCCCTCTCGGGTTTGCTTGGGCGGATGCTCTGGGCTTCGGGTTGGACGCACAGGACACGCTGCTCCCGGTGGCCCCCAGCCCACTCCCTGGCCTGTCCCCTCCTGCCCCTCCCAGACAGGCTCATGTGGTCTCAGTCTGGGAGGGCCTGTCTTCGAGCTGCAGCTCCCTGAACCCTGGGGAGACGCAGGCCCCCACCAGACCAGCTGCCCTTGGAGGGTCGGAGAACGGGGCTCAGGTGAGGCGGCGTCCAGGTACATTAATGGCCCATTTCCAGGCCAGGCTGTCGGTGACCGGGGGACAGCTGAACGACAGGCGACTCTGGGCCCGTCCCTGCCCCAGAAAGGTGGCAGAGCCTGAGCTGTGGGCACGGCGCTGGGGGCCCCCGGTCAGCCTGGGCATGTGGCCGGGGGTGACAGCGGTGGCAGTGACCTTGTTTGTCTGAAAGCTGACCTCTCACCCTGCCTTACCGCCTCACCTGCAGACCCCCGGGCAGCCACGGCCAGTCCTGGTGTCAGGCCCGGCTCCCCCAGGACCCACCGTGTCCTGTCCCCTCCATAGCGCCCGAGTCCCCCTTTCCCCCCCGCACCACGGCCGCTCACCTGGGCAGTAGCAGCGCAGCACCCCGGGCTGGATGAGGGAGGCGGGCACCGAGGCGTGGTCGAACAGGCAGCTGTAGTTGCTGCCCGCCTCCTGCCAGGGGCCCGTGATCAGGACCTTCACTCCGCCCTGCAACGAGATGGAGCCGCGAGTCAGCCCCACCCCGGGACGGTGTGCCCACCCAACCCCCCAGAACCTCAGTAGCCCCCCCCGGGGGGAAGTGTGGGGCGAGACGGGCCAGAGGGGCACCGGAGTGTCCCCCAGGGGGAAGTCCCAGCTGCTCGTGTGGGGGTAGCAGGGCCAGGGAGCCAAGGAAGAAGATTCCAGAAAGGCTGAGTGGGGCGAGGATCAAGGTGGGACAGGGCTGGGGTGGGGAGTCCACCAGCTAGGGCCACTTCCTTAATGCCCCCCACATGTGGCTCGGGGGGCTTATCGCCAAGAGAGGCTGCAGCGCCCTGCCCCCAGGCCTCGAGTGGGGGGTGTCAGAAGCTCTTGCTCAGCTCCAGGGCAGAGACCCCCAAACCCAGGCCCCCTCCCACTCCAGACACAGGGAGCAAAAACGGGAAAGCGAAGGGACTCTGGGGTCAGCAGGGGGTCCCATCCCCGTGTTCCCTCTCTCTCTGGTGGGGTCCTGTCCCCGTGTTCCCTCTCTCTGGTGGGGTCCCATCCCCGTGTCCCCTCTCTCTGGTGGGTGCAGTGCTCCCCTCTCTCCCAGCGCTGGGGTGGAGAGCCGGAGAATGATGAGGGGCTGGGCTTGGCATGCCCGCCCACGCTGGGGCCCACACTGAGCAGCCCCCAGCCCCATCCCATCCCTGCCTGGGCACGGTGGCAGGAGGGGCTGTTTCTGGAGTGCCCAGGCTGGCCGCTGTCCCCGGCCTGCGGGGGTCAGCCTGAGGTGGCCTGTGAGGACAGCTCTCGCGTGCCCGAGTCATTGCGCCCGGGGGCCGGGAAAGGTTGGCAGCCTCCCCTGCTGGTGCCCATGGTCCTGAGGGGACAGTGTGGGGGGCAGCCTGCCGGGGTGCTAGTGAGGACAAGCCAGGCTGGCCAAGGTCCCCACCCTAGGCCCGGCGGGGGGTGGGGGAGGGGGCAGCTTTGGGGAACCAGGCGCTGCAGAGACCGCAGAACACCTCGGAGCGTCTCCATGGAAACGCCGCAGAACTGCGCAGCCTGGGCACGGTTCCCATGGCAACGGCTGCAGGGCCTGAGTGGGCTGTGACGCAGGCGCCTGGGTGAGGTTGGGAGGCAGCGCCTCTGCGGGCGCCAGGCACCGTGCCACCTCGGGTCTCTGCCCGCCACCCACCAGCCCAGACCTGGGGTCCTGAGTGTGTCTGTATGTCTGTGTCCTGTGTGTGCAGGCGTGCCCGAGTGTGTGCGTATGTGTGCCTGTGTCTGTATGGATACGTGCATGTGTGTGTCTGCGGGAGTGTGTATGTGAGTACAGACAAGTGTCTGTGTGCGTCCACGTAGGTACCAACGTACATGTGTGTCTCTGTGAGCATGTATGTCTGTGTAGAGTGCCTGTATGGTTGCCCGTACGCGTGCGGGCAACCTGTATACATGTGTGTCTCCGTGTGAGTGTGTGTGTCTACGAGAATGCATATATGTATATGTGAGTGCATCTGCAACATGTGTGTCTATGTATGTCTGTGTGTCCGTATGGTGTGTGTATATGTGTGCATGCATGAATGGACGTGCAGACACGTGTCTCACGCACACACGCATGTGTGTGTGTGTGTATGTGTGTGTGTGCTGTGTCTGAGTGTGACCTGCTACAGACAGACCTGATGAGGCAGCCTGAGAACCCCCTCACAGGGCCTGGGAAGGAACGCTGAGGGGAAGCCGCCCCCACCTCTGCCAAGTGGGTGTCTGGCACCCAGGGTTTCCGGGCTGGGTGCGCCAAGAGCTGTTGGCTGGACCTCCCCCACAAAGGGAAGGGCTGGGGGCACCGTCTGCCCTGTGCTGGGTGGGTGCTGAGACCTGGGGGCCGCGGGTGCCAGTGCGGGCGGCCCTCTGCAGTGCCAACCCTACCAAGCCCAGCTGCTTTTGTCTCCCGGGGCTGGAAGCGTCTGGAAGCCGGCGGGCCACTCCTCCTCTCTCCCGTTCCCATGGTGCCCCCGTGTGGCTGACGGCCGCACCCACATATCCTCCGCCAGGAGCCTGTTTAGGGATGGAGGCGGCCCCCACCCAGCCGCTGGGACGCGGGCCCCTGGTCTTGGGGCAACCCCTGCCACCCCCTGTACCAGATTCTGAGTCACAAGAACCAGGCTTTGGAGTGTCCCCGGACCGGCCCCTCCTCCTGGTCCCTCTCCTCACCCTCCTGGGAGCCCGGTCAGGGCAGCGCCCAACAGCGTCCCTGTGTGGGAGGGGCAGAGCTGGGCCCTTAACCAGCACCTCCTGTCACAGCAGGGGCAGGGCCAGGCAGACGGCTCGGCCAGGCCCCGGCATGTGGCCACTTGGGTGGCCGTCGGGCAGGTTGGGCGCTGCTCTCTCAGCCCCCAGAGAGGAAGGGGTGCAGGTATATCACAGGGCCCTCCTGAGGCCACCTGAGGCGAGCCCCCAAGGCCCCTGGGCTCACCGGGGATGGACGGGAGGGGACGCTTGCCTCAAGCTGGCCCCGTATGGCCCAATCTGTACCTTGACCCCTCGTTTCTATGTGGGGAAACTGAGATACATCACCAGGACTGGCCTGTGGGGGCTCCGGGATCCTGGCCCATCTCTTTGGGGGACCGAGAGGTCAGAGATGCTGACACTGGCTCAGAGACACAGCCCAAGCCGTGGTCCCTGTCCAGCAGCCGCTGACCCGGATCAGGAGGGGTCTCTGGGGTTTCTGCATGGCCTGGACAGTCCTGTGAGATGGTGGTTCTCTTGGGAGGCACCCCTGCATGTCCCTGGCAGCTGCCCCTAACCCTGCCTTAGGGAACAAGGCGGGTGAACGGGAGGGTGGGGCTGGGGCTGCCCCCCCCCCCCCCCCCCAAGGAAGTGCCCAGGTGCCCGGGAATGTGCTATTCCCCAGGCCACCAGGGGGCGCACCAGGCATCATCCACCTGGCTGACCCTCTTGCCCACACCTTGGAGAGCCCGGCTACCGCAGCAAGGCAGTCAGGTCAGCACTCTGCCCAGGGAAACGGAGGCAGTTGGGCCAATTGGGATGCCCCTTGAGGAGGGGGGACCCACCTTCAGACCCTGCCTCCTCCCTCTGACCAGCACAGACAGGGGAGGTCTGGCTGAGGGGTGTGTGTGTGTGTGTGTGTGTGTGTGTGTGTGTGTGTGCGCGCGTGCGCGAGCTGAGGGTCCGGTGTCAGCTGCTCTGGGCTCCTTCCCAGCCCACTGTCACCAAGTCCAAGCTGGGGGCGTTGTACTCTGTGCGAGCTGGTCCCCACCGACTCAGGGAATACGGCAGGGGGATGGAGGGGACAGTGCCCACTCACGAGGGACGGGACCTGCTGTTCCCCGGGCCGCCAGCAGGGGGCGCGCTCAGAGGCCGCTGGTCACTCCTGGCTCCAGGCCAGCTGGGCAGCGGTGGCCGGAGCCGGACCGGGTGTGGGGAAGGTGGCTTACCTCGGGGTACGACCACTCGGGGGAGTAGTCGGTGACCATGAACACGCGTCCGGCCTGCAGCATGCTCAGGGCGCCCTGCGTGGAGGCGGCCGACACCACCTCGGCCACATGCATGTAGGCCATGGTGCCCGGGCCGGTGTCCGCCCCGCCCAGAGGCAGGCCGCCCTGCGGGGGGCTGCAGCAGGGGATGCACATCTCGGCCTGCGTGAAGGGGGCGCGCGCCCCGTCCTCCGACTGCGAGAGCGCCGTGCTGTCCCCTGCCACCAGCTGGTGCCCGTACAGGGTGCCGCCGCCGCCCTCCACGGAGATGAAGTCGTTGATCAGGTCGGAGAACTGGTTGCTGAAGGAGATGTCGAAGTGGTCCAGGCTGAGCTCCATGTTGGACGTGTGGCCCAGGCCCGGCTGGGCCACGGGGTAGAGCCCCTGCACCACGCCCCCGGGGAGCACGGGCACGCCCCCCGCGCTGCGGATCACGCCCGGAGTCTCGGGCTGCAGGTAGTGCTCGGAGCCGCAGGCCTGCAGCCCCCCCGCCTTGAGCAGCCCCTCGCCCCCCTCGGCCGCCTGCGAGGTCTCCATGGTGACCTCCCCTTCCGCCGGCGGCAGGGCCTGGAAGTTGGCCTGAAACTGCATGAGGTGGAGGGAGGAGCCGGACTCCAGCCGCGACTCGGCGTGGCCGCTGCACGAGCTGGTCTGCGACGGGGCCTCCGTCTTCACCGTGGGCATCACGAAGGTGCCCCCCGAGTCGGCCAGGCCGCCGTGGGCGCCCTGCTCGAGGGGGAGGGGCTTGCTGGCGTCCTGCAGGAAGAAGCTGGGGGAGGGCGTCTGGTGGACGTGCGGGCTGTGGCCCGGCTGGCTGAAGCCGGACGCATAGTCCTTGTTGGAGTCGATGGCGCTGAAGTCCATCTGCTCCAGCGTGGTGCTGGGGCTCAGGCCGCCCCCCGACGGCAGCAGGCCCGAGCCGGCCGTCAGCGTGAGGGAGCTGGAGGCGGCCGCGGCGGTCGAGGGGGTGTAGCCATCTCGCGCCAGCTGCTGCTCGAACGATGTGTCCTCCGTCTTGATCTCCTTGGCGAGGACGGTGGAGAAGCCGAAGCCCCTGTCCACGGGTGGCGAGTGCCGGACGCTCGTGGCCCCCAGCTCGGCCTTCAGGCCCCCGCCCCCATACGTCTGGCCCTGCTTGGGGTTGTTGAGGAAACAGTCGGGGTCGAAGTTCATGGTGGTCTCCGGGATCTTCCGGCCCCCGTCCAGGGTGGTGGAGAGGACCAGCTCCTCGGACACATTGGTGGACAGCATGGACAGGCTCTCCGAGCTGCCCGAGGTGGGGAAGGCGAACTTGTGGCCGTCGGAGCTCACGGCCAGGACGAGGCCCTGCGAGGCCTCGGCCGACAGGAGGTGGTGGTTGGGGCCGGCGGTGGGGGACATGGTATAGACGGCCTCGCTGGTGACCTCCGACATGAACACGGTGGCGCTCTGCGACAGGCTGCCCATCACGGAGGCCACGGCCATGCTGGACACGCCGGTGACCACGGGGCTGTCCACCATGTCCGGGTCGCTGTTGAGGCCGCTGCTGATGGACACCGGGGAGCTCTGCGTGGTGTCGGGCACCTCCACCTGGTTGGTGGACGACACCTCGGCGCTGTTCTGGTGCAGCAGCGCGGGCTTGGCCACTTTGCCGTTCCTCTTCTCGCGGCCCTTGCCGTGGCCCGGCTCGTGCCGGCCCTCCGACACGTCATTGTGCTGCACCTCCGCGTGGCCCCCGTAGCCCCCCGCCCGCGGCTCCACCTTCGGCGAGATGATCCGGTGTTTGGCACTGTTGCATTTGTGGTGCACGCTGCTGCCTGCTCCTGTGGAGAACCACACGCACGCACGCACGCACACGCATTGGGCACGCACACACATGCATGCACACACACACACGCATACACACATGTATATATGTGCACACATGAACAACATGCATCAGGCACACACATGCATGCACACACGCGCACACATCAGGCATGCACATACAAGTACACACATGCACACGGACACACACACATCGGGCATGCACATACATGCACACACACACGCACATGTGCACACGCACACACCAGGCACACATACACGTGCACATGTGTATACAAGTGTACATATGACAACACACGTGCATACATATACACACATGCACACGCGTGCATACATATACACAGGTGTATGCACACACATGTTTACATATACACACAGACAGACACATACATGAATACATACGTACACACATGCACACACAAACAGGTTCACACACGTATGCACACACGCACACATATAAACAGATGCATTACACATACACACAAACAGGCACACACGTGCACAGTCAGGATGGGATGGTGGTGGGGTGTCCCCAGCAGGGGGCCCCTCACTGGTCGCCACCCTCACCCTGACCCCGAGGCACTCAATGACCCTTTCAAGCCCCTCTGGGGTGTCAGCTGCCCTCTACAGGAGAGGGCGGAGAGAGACCCCCCGACCACCCCCCTCTCAGAGATGGACCCCATCTCAGAAAGGCTCCCGGGGATGCAGGTACAGGGCTCGGGAATGGCTCTGGCCTTGGTGTCAGAGGCAAAAAGTGTGAGGCCCCAACACCCACCCTCTCGGCCGCTGGGCTGAGCTGAGCCGGTCAGAGCCAGGAGCTAGGCTGTGCAGCGCCGTGGAGGGCCAGGGGGCCGGGCCAGGTGGACAGGCTGCAGCTGAAGGTCTCTTGGCACAGCTGCCCAGCCCCCCACCACCTGCCTCTGGGTCCCTCTCCCCAAACCTGGAGCCCTCGCCCCCACCTGGGGTCTCTGCCCCCTCTCCTCCCCTGGGGGCCTGGGCCCCCCAGGCTCCTGCCCCCTGCCCCTGCCCCCGCCCCACCCACATGTCCGTCCCTGCTCCCAGGCCGCGGCCCCCAGGCTCTGAGCATCCGGGCGCCACGCAGAGCCGACAGAGGAAGTGCTCAGCGGGATATGGGGGGCACGGCCAGTCTCCAAGGGGACCAGGGATGCCCCTGCTCTGGGCTGGCCAGGAGCCGGGCCCCTTCTCGGGGTCACTGGACGGAGGCCCTGACTTCCGGCCCAGCCCGTGACCCCCACCCCCTGGTGCGGCCTGAGGGAGCATCTCCCTGGAAATGCCTTTCAGGGCCAGGGCCTTCCCTATGGACCCCCGTGACACGGCGAGCCACGTGGGGAGCCAGGCCCAGCCTGCAGCCTCCCGGGCCCCGACCCCTGGCCCGCAGCCGCCTGTCTCCTAGGCTCCAGAGCCCCCAGCCCCGGGCCCCCGCAGCCGCCATCCCCAGCCCCCGCGCTCACCCAGGCTGCCGGTGCAGAGGCAGTTGTGCGTGCGTGGCTGCGGCTTGCTCTGGTGGCTGTCCAGGATCTGCTGCACCAGCTGCTCCACCGAGAAGCCCGAGCTGCTGCCGCCATTCGTGCAGGTCCACTTGATGCCGTGGACTGCGGGGAGAGGGGGGTGTCAGGGGTGCGGGGCCGGGACTGCCCGGGGCTTTGGGGAGGGGGCGTCAGGGGCCCTGGGAACTTCAGGGAGAGGGCATCAGGGGCCCCGGGGACAGGAGGGGCCGTCAGGGGCCCTGGGGACAGGAGGGGGCGTCAGGGACCCCAGGACTGTGGGGAGGGGGTGTCAGGGGCCCTGGGGACAGGAGAGGGCATCAGGGGCCCTGGGGACTTCGGGAAGGGGGCGTCAGGGGTGTGGGCCCATGGGGTGTACCATGCCCACATGTGCTGCAGAGAAAGGCAGGGTGCATGGACCCCCTGTACCTGCCGCATGTCACACACCAGCCCCCATGTCTACATACATGAGTCAGGGCACCTTCCAGCCCCTGTGCGTACACACGAGTCATAGCACACAGCGGCTTCCATGTGCTCATCCGTGTGTGTATGTGTGTTGCTTCCGTGCGTGCCCCTCGCTCTTTCCCCCACACTGCAGGTGTCACCTCTGTGCCAGACACGCTCCCTCACACATGCGCGTGTTCCCTCGCACCACATCACAGGGGCGTGTGCATGTCGGGTGTCGTCACGCTTGTCCCCAGGACCCTCCCGATGAGCCTCAGGTTCCCCTGGACTTGTGGGAGCCTGGGGTTCAGGCCACACCCCTAGGGAGTGGCGCTTTGACTCTATGACTTACACATGCACAGGCCGTGTCTCATATGGTCACACTGTGCGCACACTACACACGACAGTCATACGTACAAGACCGTATCTCTGCTGGACTGTCATGCTGCACTTGTACCATATACACGCATGTGCCATACATGTGCACACATGACGTATCATCTATCTACCACAGGGTCACACAGCAGGACCTGCTCCGTGAGTATGGCATGGCTATCCCGGCACACGCTCGTGACATGCTGCATGTGCTGGGGCAGAAATCACACTGACGCCGCAGCTGTGTGGGTTGTTGTAACTACACTGATGTGCGGCTGTGTGTGGAATGTTGTAGTTACAAGGACACCTCACTGTGTGGGTTGTTGTAGCTACACTGATGTATGGTTGTGTGGGGGTTGTTGTAGCTACACAGATGTGCGGCTGTGTTTGGGTTGTTGTGACCACACTGATGTGCGGCTGTGTGAGGGTTGCTGTAACTACACTGATTTGCAGCTGTGTATGGGTGGCTGTAGCTACACCAAGGTGCGGCTGTGTTTGGGCTGTTGTAACTACATTGACGTGTGGCTGTGTGGGGGTTGTAACTACAATGATGTGTGACTGTGGGGGGTGTAACTACACTGATATGCGGCTGTGTGGGGGTGGCTGTAGCTACATGAATGCTGACACTGTGTGAGTGGCTGTAGCTACACCAATGTGCGGCTGTGTTTGGGTTGTTGTAACAACACTGATGTGTGGCTGTGTGTGGATTGTTGTAGCTACAAGGACACTGACACTGTGTGGGTTGTTGTAGTACACTGATGTGCGGCTGTGTGGGGGTTTTTGTAGCTACATGGATGTGCAGCTGTGTTTGGGTTGTTGTAGCTACCCTGATGTGTGGCTGTGTGGGGGTTGTTGTAATTACACTGATGTGTGGCTGTGTGTGGATTGTTGTAGCTACAAGGACACTGACACTGTGTGGGTTGTTGTAGCTACACTAATGTGCGGCTGTGTGGGGGTTGCTGTAACTACACTAATGTGTGGCTGTGTGTAGGTTGTTGTAACTACACTGTTGTGTGGCTGTCTGTGTGTGGCTGTAGCTAAACTGAGGCTGACTCTGTGTGTAGGTCATTGTGGTTACGCTGCGCTGTGTCCAGGTCTGTACTTGTGTGTCACTGAACCGCGTGTGGTGACACTGTATATCCCGAAGTGTTTTCACGCTGTTCTCATATTAAACTCCCTGCTCACTAGGTCACACGGTTGGACACACCCCCAGGAACGCTTATGACACCCGCCAACGGTGGCGATGGCACCACGGTGATGACAGTGCCGTGACCCGTCTGTGGCCAGGCTAGGAGACTTGGCCAGGCTAGGTGAACCCCAGTGATTTGCCTCTGCCAGGGGCGCCCACGCAGTGATGCCAAAGGAAAGAGCCAGAAGGTCAGTCTGGGGGGAGGGAACCGCCTGCACATAGCTGGGTGGGACCCCCAGCACCCCACACGTCCCCCTGTACTTGCCAGGAGTGAGCCCTGAGCACAGAGCCAAGAGTCAGCCCGGAGCACCATCAAGCAACCAACAAGTCCCAGGACAGCTGGGGGATGACCCTCCCCCCCGGTTGCACTCTCCCTGTTGCCCACCCTGGCCTCGGCCCTGCAGTGCTTGAGAGTCACCGTCCTGCAGACACAGTGTGTCCACGTGGGACCTCACTGCAGACCCAGAGCCGGTGCCCCCGGAGTCCCTGACTGGCAACGGGGAGACCCCCACGGCTGTGCTGGCTTCCAGCCACTGAAGGACGAACGGGCCAAGCAGGACCTTCCCGAGCCAAGTGCCCACCCTGTCCACGTGCCACCCGGGGGCTCAGGGAGGCGACACCCCCTGCCCTCTCCTCCTGTCGTGAAGGCCATGACACAACAGCCCAGTGACGGGGACAGACGGGCAGAGAACCCCGGCACGCCTGGTGCCCCCCGACCGTCTGGCACCCGGGGGCTGCGCCAGCCCCCTCCCCAAGGCAGCTGCTGTCAGCGCTGAATATCAAACACTATCGGGACGCGCTTAATGCGCCACGCTCCACTTCCGCACGCCGTGAATCAGCGGGAAAGGAGATTTCTGGGGGAGGCGCCCACGGGCGAAGGCGGATAATAAAAACCGATAATAAAAACCCGCACCCGGCCTGGGAATAAAAACCCGCACCCCAGCCCGGCCCAGGGAATAAAAACCTGCATCCAGAGTCAGGCCCGCCCCAGCCAGGCCCGCCCCACCCCAGCCCCGAACAGGGGTGAGGGTGCCTGCTAGAAGCATGCGAGGAGACCGGGTCGGGGACCAGGGGGGATGATGGACAGTACTGGGTCCACTCTGCTCCCTGGACCTCGGTGGGGGCTCGGGCCACCTCCCGCCCCGGCCGCAGTCACCTCGGCCAGCAAGGCCTCCTGGGCTCTTGGGGTTACCCGGTTGCCCGGAGGGGACCTGGGTGGGGCCTGGACAGTGGTTCCCGGCTGACCAGGGTGGGGTGGGCTGCGGCCGGTATCTGCAGGAGGGCTGGCCTCCGAGCGTAGGCCGCAGCGAGGTGGGGGATGCTGCGGGAAGCTGTTGTCCACCCCTGAGTGGGCCGGCGCAGGGAAGAGTCGACGCCAGTGACCCCGTGGCAGGGCAGTGGCCCTTGTGTGACATGAGTAATGGCCCCAAACCAAGGCCTAGGCTGGGCTGGTGGGGGGGGCACGAATCCCCTAGGAGCACTGTCTGCAGGAGAGTGTGACCCCCCACGCTGCCCAGGGCATGCACGCACGCGCGCGCGCACACACACACACACACACACACACGCATGCGCTGCACACAGACCTCAGCAGAGGGGAGGCTGGAGGGTGTGTGGAGGCCTCAGGGGCAGCCTTGCCCCTCCCGGGGTCGTGGGGGCCCAAAGCTCGCGCGTTTTCAGAGCCGGGGTTCAGGGAGGTGGTGAGGATGGAGGGAGCCCCGGGGCCCCGGTCTGATAGGACCCGTGTCCTTCTGGGAAACCCCTGGAGCGAGGCCCCCCCTCAGCCCTGTGGGCACCCGGCAAGCACCGAGCACCATGGGGCGAGCACCCCATTAAGGTACCCTGTGAACTCTCACCTAACGACCACCACATCATGCCCCTGGGAGACCCTCATCCACCTTCCCTGTGCTCTCCACGTGTATGTGTGTGTTTGCGTGTGCGCATGTCTGTCTCTGTGTGTATGTCTGTGTATGCGTTCGTGTGTACATGCGTATTTATCTGTTTTTGTGTTTGTGTGTGTCTGTGTGTGTGTCCATGTTTGTCTGTGTGTGTCTGTGTATATGTGTACATGTGTCTGTGTGCTTATGTGTGTGTCCGTGTGTGTCTATGTTTGTGTGTCTGTGAGTGTTTGTGTATGTGTGTACATGTGTATGTCTGTGTTTATGTGTATGTGTCTGTGTGTGTCTGTGTATTTGTGTGTGTTCGTGTGTCTGTGTGTGTTCATGTGTGTGTCTGTGTGTGTTTGATGTATGTTCGTGTGTGTGTCTGTGTATGTGTTTATGTGTCTGTGTGCACGTGTGTATATCTGTGTCTGTGTGTGTGTTCGTGGTGTCTGTATATGTGTCTGTGTGTGTCTTGTGTGGGTGTGTGGGGGTACATAGGAATCAGGACCCTCCCCCTTTTAAATCTCACCTTTCCTTCCAACCCAGCGCACTGCCACCTCCTTCTGGAAGCCTTCCTGGCTATACTAGCTCTGGAGCCCGAGACCAGACGAGGCGTCTGCAGGAGCTGAGGGGCTGGCAGCCCTGGGGTGCTCCCGCCAGGGGGTGAAGTGACTGACAGGGGGTCTCAGTGCACCCCCTGTCCCCAGCATGACTCTGCCTGTCACCCACAACGCCTCTCTTGGGCCGGAGCAGGCCTCCAGGGACCCATTTCCACCTGGACCAGAACCACTACACAGCGCCACCCAGGCCCGTGCGATTGCTCGTGGGGTCTCAGCTGCAGACGGGGTGCGCAGTCTGGGGGCTCGGCCCGAGCCCTGCAGGGCCTCGAGGTGGAGGTCAAAGTCAAACCGTTCCCGTGAGCAAAGGACCCCAGCCCCAGGGCTGGGACTGCTGCTCTGGTGGCAGGTGGGGGTGGGGGGGGCGCGGGGCCCTGCAGGTGCCGGACAGGTTGGGGGCCGCTGACCTCACCGGGGAGCCCCTGGCCCTAGAAGGAGGGTGGGGAAGGGAGGCAGGGGAGGAGCAAGAAGGCTCAGCTTTGCAGGGGGCAGTCGGCAGCTGGTCGGCCCCACCCCCAGGCGCTCCCCAGAAAGCAGGGGCTGCCCGGGGAAGCGGGTGCAGAGCGACTGGGAGGGTGCATGGGTTTTTTTTTTTGAACACAA